TTAAAAAGCTCTTTGAAATTAAAATCCGCGTAACAGTACCATGTAAATTGGGTGTGCCGCAAGGGTCGATTTGAGGACCACCTATATATTTTTTGGCCACAGGGTAAATTATGGTATTGGTATGTTTTTTTTTTTAATTTTTTTATATAATGCATTATAAGATGCGGCTCGACCGATCTTAAAAAATAAGTCTACATATTTATTTATAAAATTGTGATTTCTATGTCGTTGTGACCTGATGGCACAGATATCAAATAAATGTCAAATTGAAAGGAATTCAAAGTCGTATATTGTATTTTATTTATTCAATTCGCATCGTGAAAGAAATGACGCGTCTTGCATTGTAAAATTTCGACGCACAATTATTTCGATACGGGACGATAGGCACCGATTAAAATATATATGTATATATACTAGCTGACCCGGCAAACGTTGTTTTGCCATAAACAATATTTCTAGTATAAAATGTTTAGTACGAAAATCACTAACTGATTGCAAATGCGGTACAACGAAAATTATATGAATAGTTTGCCCACTGCAAAGCACGAAACATATCTGAAACTGATTATTACCTTAAAAATATTTAGGGGTGGTTTCTAAGTATAAAGTAGTAGTAAAAACATTTTTCAATTTTAAATTATAGAAAATTAAAATAAATTGGACCCAAAATTAAAACAAGTAATAGGCTTAGACAGCTATTAATAAAAATAAATAGTTTTTTAAAGTGATATCCAAGGGGAGGGTGGAATTTTGATTTGGAATATCACCACGTATCGAGGAGGAGAGGCCCAAAAATCCTTAGTTAGTAAATTTATCTCCTGACTAATGGACGTAGACTATTATTTACGACCCGGCCCTGCCTCTAGGATCTATTTAACTCGACTTTGTTGTCACCAATTGAGGCCCATTATCGGGCACTAAATCACATTTAACCAAGTCACAGCGAAATAACAATCGATTCTCGATACAGTTAGAAAGCACCAGGTGCTCCAGTTCGATTATTCGAATATCGATTTGAATTCGAGACACGTATGAACTTTTTATCAGAAAGAAACGGAAGACGGAAGATGGTCTTGTTAATTTGTAGATTTAGCGTGGATTAAATGCGGAAAAATCAGGAAATTATTTTTCGTTCACGTATCGAGTCATTTTGAATCGTGTGACACAAATAGGACGGAAGGAGGATATTGTACATTTAGGTGGATTAGTTTGTTTACTGAAGGAGAAACCAATATATTGTTTTTTTGATGTCCTAATGAATTTGAATGGTGTGGCATAAATTTCACCACAACTTGTCATTAATGGGCGTCTATTAATCACGTGATCAATTTTTTTAAGGATTTTTAGGTAAGAATACCTATTACACTTTTATCATTTCGAACGTAATAAGTTTTCAAGACTTTGCCTTAAAATGTAATGCCGAGAATAGACACATAAATTTTGTTGATTTTGGTGTAGACTAGTAGACGAGTGTGCACTTTCAGTCGCAATTTTAATGTATACCGCGTTGCTGTAGGGTGTTATAATGTTAGACAGCATTGTAGATAATTTAATTTTGTATAAATTAGCCAAATATTTCATTCCAATTGCACGAACCGTTTAAAAGTTACGAGAGTTGTAATAAACAAATGCACCGAAACAAGTGGTCGTACTATATATAGTACAGCGGGTCAATACCGGTAAAAAAGTTGTCACGTCAAATGTGGGCATGTGGGTGCTCGTTTGAAAGGTCTCGAAGAACCCTATACGAATATCGAAGTAACGGACACAATAAAGCAATAGGGTTCCATACAAAATAATTCACTAAGAACCCAAAATTAGACGAACCGTTTAAATGTTACAAGGGTTGTAATAAACAAATGCGCTAAAACGAGTAATCTTGCCTTAAGGCAAAATACCACTTGCACTAAAATTCAATTTCTTTCAAATTACACACCTACAACTTTTCTTTACTACTATTTCTGAAAAAATCACGATTCAATTATCCCAATTCCCTCCTCGCTCCAATTACTCCAAAAATATTCAAATTTAATTTGTCATCAACTAACTGACGTCTTCTAATTCTTTCTTCATTCGACATCTTTTGTTGAAAATACAATAACCGAAACATTTAACAAAAGACGAATGTTAATAAATAGATCTGGGCCAACTCGATTTTCGGCGAAAATTTATTAAAATTGAAAATTTAAATTCACTCGCGATTCGCTCGGCTTAAGACATTTTTGACCCGGATTCGAAATCGAGTTGAAATGAAATCTGACATACTTTTGGGGAAAGGATTCATGGAATTGGTGATTTATTGTGAAATACTAGAAAAGGACGATTTGTGACTTCTTCAGGGCGTGTGGCGAGGATGTAATTTGACCTGCAGATGCGCACGTATTTTACCTATGTATTAATTTTTTACGTTGTAATAGTTTTGCGAATGCTTTAAATGGCATTTATAAATTAACAAACTAGTGGTGTATGGCATCGTGCCTTAGAGAAAATTGCTGGAACTTCCCGTACCGTAACGAAATATTCGAGGAATATTAAATGTTTTCAAATAGATTATTATAAATAAATATTGTAACATTGTCGAATATTTGTAAGAATTATATAAAATGAATTGCAAAGTTGCAATTATTTGTTTAAAGTATATAAGTGAGCTTTAGAACTTTAGCTTTAGAATTAAAATTAAAATCTGAATTATTTTCGATATACAAAAAAAATTTTTTTTGAATAAAACAAATTTAAAATAGAAAAATTTTTTTCTCAAAAACAATTGTTTTGCCAACACAAGCAGAATGTTTTTTGAATCATTCAAATCGAATACTCCGTTTTCTCAAAAACTCGTTTTATATTATCTGCACTCTTTGCTCCGGATCTTCGTAACGAATGTACATGCCTTTGTCAAAAACTAATCAGCACATTTCCCTATCAATAGGAATCGAATGCTTTTTGAACCATTCAAATCGGTTGATCCGTGTAGGTACTCGACAACGTGGACGAAAAATTGTATCCGAATACACACACAAACATCAATTTTTTTTAGGTATGCCAAAATGTTCAGAAACTTCTCAAACGTGAAGATATACAAAAAAAATTATTTTCGATTTTCGGCCAATTACTATAACTTATCCTACGGGAAATTAATTAATTAAATTATTGAACTAATATTTTCGAATTATTATAAGTAAAAATGAATTTATCAGGATGACATGAAAGTCATCTGTTTTAAGATAAAACGGCATTTACACCTAGTTTTACATAAGATAAAATTTTAAAGTTATAAATACTGTTTTACTTACATTATGCGTATTTTATAGACAAAATATAAAAGCTTATAAATAAGACGACGACTTTTCTATATGTTTACATGAGAAGTAAATAAATAATACTTAAGGTTGTGCGTTAAACTATAAACTATCCCTTATTTGAAAAAACCCGGCCAAAAAAAATATGTTTTTTTAATGTAGAAAAACAAACTTTAGAACATTGTTTTAGCAAAAAAAAAATAAAAAAAATCTAAATTAATCAAAATTTTTAGTTTAATTTTGGATTTTGATCATCATTGCAGAAAAGAGTTGAATATTGCAATGTTACACGTCCATCGACTTTTTTCATTTTTTGTTTCGAATTACTATTTCGTGAAAAACATCTTTATCAGTTAAAATATTTATTTATACTTTTACAACAAAAATAATACTAATATAATACTTCTGAAATGTGAAGATATGCAAAAATTTTCATTTTCGGCCCATTACTATAATTTACCCTACAGAAAGTTAATGTTTTTATTCTGGAAATATTTGAATTTTGATAAATTCAATCTATTGATATCCATAATTATCAATTGGTATATTCATAAACATCTACAAATGTCCATATCATCCATAAATACCCTAAATATCCTTTAATATACATAAAGAGAAACATATACTTTATTAGATCCATAAAAATCCATTATTTCATTCAGAAACATCCATTAATATTTTAAAAAAATCCATAAATATCCCTCTTATATATTCATAAATATCCATTATTATACTCATTGATATAACAATAAATATCCATAAATATCCATGAACATCTAATAATATATCCAGTAACATCCCTTAAAATATCTATAAATATATATAAATATCCAGATAACATCTATTTTCGTATCCATAAACATATCCGTTAATATATGCATCAATATATTCAAAATATCAATAAATCTCCATTGATATATACATTGAAATACATCCATTAACAAATATTATCACAAATATCTATTAATATCCATTGATATATCCATAAATTTGTTGCGATATAATTTTTTTGGTTTTCACAATATAGTTGCTCTACATTTATACTTTTTATTAAATTTACTTTAATTCATCGAATGTTACTTGAAATTTTTCAAAAAGCAGGTCAAAGAAGAAATATTTAATTCATTTTCTATCTCTCCTTGCAGAAATTTGAAAATTTTGTATCAGTAGTATAATTTCCAATTATACCCAAAAACCCAGAATCTCAAAAGAATCTGAAAAAGTTGAAACGTGATCAATAAAAGTCGAAAGACCAAGAAAGACTTGGATTGGATTATATCATGTTTATGATAGAAAGTGTATAAAACTTCCAGTTCGATTGTATTAACAAAATATAGACAAACTAATGGGGTTTATTGTTTTTATAATACCTCATTGTATATACTCATTCAAATAACACATCCGTATACACTAAAAGTATTAAATATTTTTGATTCTCTAGAAATTATTTAGAATATACCTTACTTAGCAAAACAACGTTTGCCGGGTCAGCTAGTATATATATATATTATATATATATATATATATATATATATAATACCAATATCATTAATGAATATTAATATTATCCATTAATCCATTAATGGCCAAAAAATGCAATAAATAAAAACAATACTTTTCTCGTCATAATAAAACATGTATTCATTTACAATTAAATATAAAACTTAAAAAACAATTACAATTAAAAACCTAAAAAACTATCCCCTACAACTCTGCGACATTCACCAAGCACCTCTGCGTAAAGAACTTGTGCCTCTTCCTCTTGTTACTGCCATCGTTGCCACCAAAGAAACTCGAAATCTTAGGAACATTCTTTAAAGACTGCCTCTTGGCCTTCTTTTTGGGGTCTTCATTTTCATCATCGGACTCTGCAGACTCCCATTCACACTCATAGGCTGTCGAAGCCAGGGCATTGTCTGCAGTCGACCAACTGAACCTTACCAGATGGGGGTAACCGAAGACTTTGTCGATTCGATCGTGGATAAAGGACTTTGTTGAAGGATCTAAAAGATAATGGATAGTATAGTCGTTATAGAATTATTGTAACCCTTTCGCTATCAGAATGTTTGTACGAGTCAGCAAGATGTCCAAAAATTGATCACACAACTATATTTTGAGAATTTTGGTTAAAATGTAATTCAAAATTAAAAATTATACTTCTAAGGAACTGAAATATAAAAAGGATTTTACTGACGACCTAATTAAATATTAATCTAGAAAAAAGTATGGAATAACCTATTTGTATCGGACAAAATTGTTTGTCACATTTTTTATATAATGACATGTTATGATGTTAAATGTTATCGAGGAATATCCCACTCGAAGATTGAAAAAAAATGGCCATACGATCTTAAATAAAATGTCAAAAAATTTAAAAAAAGATCTCATAGGAGATAATCTCTTAAATGCATTTACACCCAGCATTCTTAAAAAGCAATCTTAAAAAATGTATATTATTTTATTAAATAATTCGGTTCGTACTCGATCGTGAGGCGTTTTTGCACAAGGCAATTTTGCCGTTTCGGAGGTATGGAGCGCAAAGGGTGTAAAAACGGTTATGCAGTTTTTTAGAGAACGGATCATCCGATTAAATTAATTCAATAAACATTTTGCTTGAGTTGACGGTGTGCAAAGTATGCTTTTATAAAAAAAACGTTGTTTTGAAATTTTTTTGAAAAATATTCAAAATTTTCAAAAAAGATCAAGTTTTTGAAATTATTCATTATTTTCAAAAATAATCTAAATTTTGAAAAATTTCAAAAGATATCAGAATTTATAAAAAATGATTTCTTACAAAAATTTGAGAACATTACAAAATTTTAAAAAAATTCCAAATTCGCAAGAAATTAAAAAAAAAACGGTTTTTTCCAAAAATTCTAAAAAATTTCGATCAATCTAAGCAAAAAAGACTCTACTGAAGATCAAATTGAAAATCAATTTAAAACAAGGAAAAAGGGACTCTACTGACGACCAAATTAAATGCAAATTTAAAAAAGAAAAGAGACTCTACTGACGACCAAGTTAGGTATCAAACTAAAATAGAAAAAGATTCTACTGACGACCAAATTAAAAATCAATTTAAAACAAAAAAAGGACTCTACTGACGAACGAATTAAATCACTTAGAAGAAAAAAAAGACTATTGACGAGAAAATTAATATTCTATTTAAAAGAAAAGGGGACTCTACTGACGACCAAATTAAAAATCAATTTCAAAAAAGAAGGAACTCTGCTGACAACCGAGTTAACTAAAGAAGAACTCAACTGATACTCAAATTAAAATCAATTTAAAACAAAGAAAAAGGGACTCTACTGACACGCAAGCAAAACCCAAATATTTGTTACACTTTAATATTTTCCAACAATCTAATCTAAAAAACGCAATAACAAATTAGAATTCTCAAAAATTCTTTAAATCAGAGTGATAAATCTTGAAGCAAATAGATTATGGATGTCATCTTAAGGCTACACTCGTACACACAGGTGGTCAAGCGAAAGGATTAAATTAAATTAAAATAATATATATATATATATATATATATATATATATATATATATGTATAATTACCTCCTGGATAACCACTTCCAAAATCCTTTTGCGTCAGTTCCAATCCTTCGCCGAATTTCCAAAACTATAATAATAAATCATATTATTATTATAATATTACTTACCGAAGAAAATGAAAAAATCCGATTTGCGATTATAATATCTTCTCAAGTCATTCCGACCAAAATTTGGAAAAAGTGTATATATATATACTAGCAAATCCCACGAACTCCGTTTCGCCACCAGATGGTTTCGTGAGAAAGATGAAGAAATTTTTTGTTTGTTTTATATTTGAAAAGGAAAAATTTGATTTTATTATACAACAGTAATGAATTTATTTCGATTAGAAAAATGAAGTGTTTTTTAGTTGAACTTCTCTGTGAATACGCAAATTATCCGTTTCATTGAAGTGCTCTTTGGTAAACCACATTTTTTGTTTTTTGGTCTGACGTTAACACAAACAAAGCGGATGGTTTTCCAACTCGTGAACAGGCAACGTATAACTGCCCATGTGAAAAACAATGATGTTCTAAATAATCTATTTGAAATTTGTTATTGCGAACGCAAGGCGAACTGGAAATTGCAATCGTTTGAAGTCAAACTGAAGACCAGTCGGAATCATTGGTATGTCACCAAATCGCCAGCAATTTTTGATTGAATGGTGAAATTCAGTTTCAAAGAATTGCTCGTTGACTTAACCAAGCATAATTCTGATAATTATCACTAATGTCGTTACTCGAATTTTTAATTACGGTGCGTGAAGTTCCAGCAGCTTGCATTAGGGCACGATGCCATGCACCACTAATTTTCTTAGCTATAAACCTTGCGGAGCCCGAGACCTTTCCAACGAATGCAAAATTGTCGAAATCGGTTCGTGCGTTCTGGAGTTATTTCGTCAGGAAGAAAAACCCGACTTATTTTTATATATATTTACTATTTTCATTGTTTATTATGTTTTTAGCCCTTGCTTTAAAAGCATATGGGCTCCAAAAAATATCTGAAACTATAAGTTCCCTGTAATTTTCATGATGATTCATTCACGCTTCTAAGTTACTCAATAAGTATTCATTTGAACAGTACTGTGCAGCGCGAGCTAGTGTACGAAACGAACCGAATCGAATCGTATAGATATCTTCTATATATATATATAAAAATAAGTCGGGTTTTCCTTCCTGACGAAATAACTCAAATTGCTAGAACTTCACGCACCGTAATTAAAAATTCGAGTAATGACATTAGTGAGAATTATCAGAATTATGCTTGGTTAAGTCAACGAGCAATTCTTGCCGCAAGGAATAATGACGTACACGCACTGAATTTCACCATTCAATCAAAAATTGCTGGCGATTTGGTGATATATATTCACGTTCCAATGATTCCGACTGTTCTTCCGTTCGACTTCAAACGATTGCAATTGCCAGTTCGCCTTGCGTTCGCAATAACAAATTTCAAATAGATTATTTAGAACATCATTGTTTTTCACATGGGCAGTTATACGTTGTCAAAAAACAAAAAATGTGCTTTACCAAAGAGCACTTCAATGAAACGGATAATTTGCGGATTCACTTTCATTTATTTAGAGAAGTTCAACTGAAAAACACTTCATTTTTGTAATCGAAATAAATTCATTACTGTTGTATAATAAAATCAAATTTTCTTAATAAAAGCAAACAAAAAATTTCTTCATCTCTCTCAAGAAACCATCTGGTGGCGAAACGGAGTTCGTCGGGTTTGCTAGTATATGTATAAATATTTTGTACGATCTCTCATACCAGGCACTTCTGCCTGTCTGAGATGTATAAAAATTATATTAAAAATCAAATAAAATCTAGTGATGTATGGCATCCTGTCTATAGGCAAATTGCTGGAACTTTCCGTACCATTTTTTTTAAAAAAAAGATTAACATTTTTGAAAAAAATTTACTCTGAAAAAATTAGATTTTTGAGAAACTATATTTTTGACAAAAATTTACTTTTTTTTGAAAAAAAAGACTGAAGAAAAATTTGTTTTGAAATATTTTGAAAATTTTGAACTTTTTTCAAAGCAATCGTACTGCTTTGACTGCACAGAGACGAAATAACGTGTTCCCGAAATCGTCGACGAAAATTTGTATCCGCACACACACATACATCATTTTTTTCCAAATGTATGCCAAAATGTTCAGAAACCTTTGAAACGTAAAGATATATAAAAATTTTCCTTATTAACTTCCCGTATGATAGTTGTAGTGATGGGCCAAAATTTGAAAATAAATATTTTTACATATATTCACGTTTCAGTGGTTTCTGAACATTTTGGCATACCTCAGAAAAAATGGATGGTGTGTGTGTGTGTTTTGTGTGTCCGCATTTTATCGTCCACGTTTTCGGGCACACGGATGAATCGATTTGAATAATTCAAGAAACATTCGATTCGTATTGATAAGGAGACGTGCTGATTAGTTTTCGGCGGAGGCAGGTCAAGCCGTTCTGAAGATATGGGGCAAAAAGTGCCAATAACGATCACCTAGTTTTTAAGAGAACGGAGCGTCCGATTTTGAATAATTTAAAAAAACATTTTACTTGTATTAACAAGATGAAGAACTGATCAAATTTTTATGAAGGCAGGTCTATCGGTTTCGGAGATGTAGTAAAAAAAGTTAAAAAAATGCCATCTGGCGGTCAACAATGATCATTAGACATATGCACATCAAAATATCAGATATTTTATAGAGATTTTAACAATTTTTTTTTTTTTTTGTTTATCAAGACTTTAATGTCTTATTTACAAAATTGATATGAGCAAAAAAAATACAAAGATACAAAAAAAATGCAATAAATTGAATATAAAATGAAAAAAGTTGAAATAAAAATAAAATAAAAACAGTAATACAAAAATAATAACAAAAATGAACTATGACGTGATGATGTATGCCGCGTACTACGTCAGGGAGATTTTAACAATAAGTATAAATTTTGTTTATATTCCTATGGGTTCCGTACCAGTGTTTATCCGTTAGACGTCGACGCGGCGCTTGCTTTGGAAAAAAGTTCAGAATTTCCAAAATATGACAAAATAAAGAAAACTTTTTTTTTTTAAATTCATTCAAATTTATAGTTTCTCAAAAATCTAATTTGTTCGAAGTAAATTTTTTTCAACAAAAATCTTTCAAAAATCTTTTAAAAAAAATAATAATTTTTGATACGGGAAGTTCCAGCAATTTGCCTTAAAGCACGGTGCCATACACCCCTAGTTTTTATTTGAATTTTAATATAATTTTTATACATCTCAGACAGTCAGAAGTGCCTGGTATGAGAGATCGTACAAAATATCTATACGATTCGATTCGGTTCGTTTCGTTCCCTAGCTCGCGCTGCAGAATACTGTCCAAATGAATACTTATTGAGTAACTTAGAAGCGTGAATCATCATGAAACTTACAGGGAACTTATCATTTCCCAATTTTTTTTGGAGCCCATATGCTTTTAAAGCAAGGGCCAAAAACATAATAAACAATTAAAATAGTAAGTAATTATATAGATATACTTTTTTAACTTCCCGTAGGATAGTTATAGTAATGGGACGAAAATCGAAAGTGAAAATTTATGCATTTCTTAGAAAAAATGGATGTGTGTGTGTGTGTTTTGTATGTCCGCATTTTTCGTCCACGTTTTAGGGCGCACGGATCAACCGATTTTAATGGTTCAAAAAAACATTCGATCCCTATTGATAGGGATATGTGCTGATTAGTTTTTGGCAAAGGCAAGTCCAGCAGTTACGGAGATACGGAGCAAAGGGTGCAGAAATAGAAATCGAGTTTTTGAGAGAACGGATTATTATCCGATTTGTATGACCCAAAAACCATTCAGTTTGTAATGACGGGGAAAAGTGGTTATTAGTTTTTGGCAAAGGTAGGCCCAGCGGTTTTGGAGATACAGAGCTAAATGTTAAAAAAATGGCAGTTTTTGAGAGAACTAAGCGTCCGATTTAAATGATTCAAAGAACTTTCTGCTTGTTTCAACAAAATAATTGCTTTTGCAAAAAAAATTCTTGTTTCTATTTTTTTTTTCGAAAAATATTTTTTGTAATTTTGGATTAAAAATTCAAAAAATCACCCAGGCTAAGCACAGTCTAAGCGCCCCTCTGGTACGAATGTTTACTCAAGTGCGTTTAGACTGTTTATGTCCTGATGCGATTTTCCAATTTTGTGAAAACTATCTATTTAAAAATGTGAAAATGCCGTCAAGCTAAGCACAGTATAAGTGAAAATGTAGCACAGAATTATTTGCAAATGCGTTTAGACTGTGACTATACGGGAGCACTTTTTCAATTAGGCAACTATTTTTTTGTTTGAGTTTGAATTCGAAATGAAATGACGATTGTTAATGTTCTGGAGATAAATTGATTGATTTATGATTTACATTTGATTTACTCACTCAGATATAACGAGATAGCAAAAATAATGAAAGTTACAGTATTTGTAATAATATATTTGAAAACGTTCGAAATTTCTCGAACATTTCATTACGGTACGGGAAGTTCCAGCAATTTGCCTTAAGACACGATGCCATACACCACTAGTTATGTTTGACCCTTGCTTTGAAAGCATATGGGCTCCAAAAAATGATAAATTCGAAAATGATAAATTTTTCCTGAAGTTTCATGATGATTCACGCTTCTAAGTTACTCAATAAGTATTCATTGAGACAGTACTGTGCAGCGCGAGGTAAGGAACGAAACGAAACGAAACGAAACGAATCGAATAGAATGTTATATTAGAAGACGTCCTCATGTATGAAGGTAAGAAATCACATGTATTTAGTTTTAACTTCCCGAAGGAGAAGTTTATGTTTTCATCCAAAAAGTCGATTCGCTCATTTTATGTTTTATCGACGTTTCAAGCCATTCTGAATCGAATGAGACCAAATTTAAGTGTGTGTTGTGTGAACAGATTTTTTGCCGTAAATCGACGTTTTTTCAAAAACGACTGGACCGATTTCAAAAATTTAAAAGCCATTCGATGTATCTCGATGAGGACTAGCGTTTCTAGGTTTTGTGCCTAATCCACCGAGCCGTTTCTTTGTAATTTGCGAAAAAGTGTTAAACTTTTCGTCCACATTGAAGCTCATACTACTGAACCGATCTAAAAAAATTAAAAACTGTCCGAAAGATATTAGTTTGGAATGATACTGATTAGTTTTAGGTGAAAATCTACCGAGCCGTTCTCTTGTAATTAACTGTTGAAAAAAAATTTAAGCCGATTTTTATGGAACTTTTTTTGGCGATACATATCATGGTCTTATAGAGCTTACTGAAACATTACGGCCTTACGACAAGTAGTTTAATTTTAAAAATGCATCAACGTTTGAGAAAATGAGTAGTTTTTTTGACGTTTGTTAAAAATAAAATTAGACGATTTACTTGGTATAACGATGGAGTACTTGGTCTTAATGAACATACTGAACCATTAAAGTCCCACAGAAACTGGTTCAATTATAAAAATTGTCGATTTTTGAAAATTTGCTTTTAGAAAATATTCCGAGTTAACGTGTTCGTTCGTTTTCAATTATGTGTAATAAATCCACTCGGAATACTTTTAATCACTCAAAAATTAATTTACTTTTTATATTGATTAAGTCAATTATTTACACATATCTGAAAGTTCATGTAACTTGTCTTAAGGCAAAATACCAATACCAACTAGTTTTTCATTTAAATCAAATAGTTTTATGAGTGCCATTTCCACCAAAATTAAAATTAATCTAGAATTAACTTGGTTCAAGAGATTCCAAAATATCACGCAAATTGGAGCACAGTAAAAAAAATTCACAGGTTACACCCATTTTCCACTAATTTCGTTGATCGTAGATAGAATAGTGCACATATGAACAGGATTTGACCAATCAATTCACTTAAAATATTAACTTAAGTAATAATGTATATCAAATTATTATTTGATAGATAAGAAAAATGTAATTTAGATATTATTATTACTGAAAACAATTAATATATAGTACGAGATTATAAAAATTATGGGCAACATTATTGAAGCAATTATTTTGAGTGAAAAAATCATTGAAATGTGATACTGCACCTTTAGTATATATTAATTATTTCTGAATTCGTTATACTGTTTAAAAGACTGCAATTTCCAATACGTATATCTTATGCTATAAATCACAAAGGCAGACAATGTATTTTTGTGTGATAAATTTTTAAAAATCGATGTTTTAGTCGTGAATAAACAAAAAATCATTTATTTATACATCTACATCTATAAGTATGACTGAAAATATTCTATAACCCTTGGCATTAAAAAAATTGAGCTATTAGAAATAAATTTGTTCAATAAATTGTAGTGTATATTTCTAATATACTATTTTAATGAACATATTTTAATATTTGTTTGTTTGATGGTCTTAGGTGGCTGATTTGAATTTCACAGTATAATTAAAGAGTTAAGTATGGGTTCCAGAGACTCGTCATTTTATTTAAAGCAGTTGTACATTTAAGATCACCCATATAGATGTATATACATTTCTGTATAGATTGCAGAGTAAAAAACGTAATAATTTTTAACTAATTGGTAAATATCAGTATAGGTTATTAAAAAAAATTGAAACTTTTGAATTGTAGACATGGGTACAGGACAACGTTTGTCGGGTCATCTAGTATATATATATATATATATATATATATATATATATATATTGTAGAGTTTTGAACAAGAATCCACAGAAGAAACCAAAAGAAAGAAAAACCAAGAAACTCTACAAAATATACACAAATCCAAGACTACCATTTAATATATATATATTCATATTTAATATATTCATTCATTAACTATTATATATATACAGTAGAATCCGCTTAGTATGACATAGAAGGGACGCCGAAAACTCGTCATACTAACCGGTCGTCATTAAAAGCGTACTGAAGAAAAACTTTTTAATATGCGAATATGTTACATGTTCCAGTAATTTAAAAGAAAAGCCTATACAAACGTTTCAATTAAAAATAAAAATGACACATATTAAAGTTTAATATAAAATAAAATTGACATAGGGTTGGGCGGGGGCACAACGGTCCAATTTGACTTACGGTAATTATACTGTCTAAACGCAATGAATGAACGTACATAATTCCTAATTATATAAATATTATATTTTTTACTATTTTTTAAACATTTGGTATCTGACCCATTTTACTTCACATACGGGGTAAAGTGGAACAATCAGGGGGCGAACAGATGCAATTTCTTCTATTAAATTTTAAAGGCATTTTATGCTACATTATTGAACCAATGCAAAATCTTAATTCTGTGGGTACATTTGTTACAAAGACAACGCAGTATATTACATTAATCTGCCATTGGTCAGAAATATTCATCAGAAGAGCCGGAATAACAGTTTATTCAATTAATCTCTTGTAAAATTGCTTTTTTTTTTAAACTTTACTATTTTATCGCTTACACCTTTGCCAAAGTAAAGGTTCAGCTGGTCCCTTTTATCGCAGTCATGTGCTGCTCATCTTCTGATAGCAAAGTCATAAGAATAAAGGTGATGGCTGGTTATGAATTTATACATTTTTCGCCCTCTACTATCAAATATAATTGTTAAAAAAATCTAATTTTATTTGTTTATGAGATATCCGTGGTGGGCCATTAATAATTAGTCTACCCTACCCATAAACATACAAATGTGATTTTTTAATGTAAGTAATCAGTAATTTTTGATTGATTTCTTTACATAATTTTATTGTAATAGCAGTCCCTGGTGCTATTGTGCACAAAAGACATAGCAATTGCTTTCGTAGACTTGGCCACATCATGTAAAATCATGTCGGTCATTATAATTGGACATATTTTTTTGCAAAAATGAGTCATTATAAGTGACATGTCAATGTAAGCGATGTCAATATATCCGACTAGACAGCTGTTTTTTTAAGGAATTTTATACGGAAACCAAATTCCTAGTGCGATTACGTCATATTAAGCGGTTGTCAATATATCCGGCGTCATACTAATCGGATTCTACTGTATATATATATATATATATATATATATATAATTATTATCTCTATCCCACTTACCTTTAAAGCCTGATCCCTGCTAACTTTAGCACAAATACTAGCAGCCGAAACAATAGGATACGTAGAATCAGCCTTCTTAGCAACCACAATCTCCAACTTAGGAAAAATCTTCTTCAACTTCGCCTGATACTTCTCCGGAGGCCCCACCGTATCAACATAAACATCCTGCACATTAACCCCAGCATCTATCGCCTTCTGTATCAAAGCAATTGCCGAATCCATACTGACTTCATTTAAAGAATGTTTGCTACGTTTGAGCATCGAATTGCTGATGTAGTTTGGGGAGATGACGTCTACGGCCCAGCCCATGGATTCGTGGGCGTAGTCTTCGATGTTGATTTTGTCGAATATTGCATCACGTTTTTCTTCTGTCAGTTGTTTCGAGTCGGCACATCCTAGGGTTTTGAGGACTTCGGATTTTGATAGGGGACAAAAGGCTATGCCATAGACCATAGGACCTAGATAAAGGATACATTGATATATATATAAATAATTTTTTTTAATATTTAGTTTTCTTAAAGACTGGTTCCAGCTTCTTTCAAGCATGCACGGTTCATTTTTGCAAATTTCAGGAATTTCAGAGAAATAACAATAATTTTTATTATTATCCTTATCACATATATGAGGTCCAAGACTATACATAGACCTGATCACTGTTGGAGCATCATTTTCTTGATTTTCTTCCATTTTGAACTATTTGTTTCAACTACACGAATTGCACATAACCTTGTTGACAGGTGTTTTAAATGAGAGAAGTTTTTCGCGCGCAATTGACAGCTGAAGAACGTTGTATGAATGTTCTTGTAGATGGCAGCATTCTAGAAAAAAGCGGTAAATTCAAAATGTAAAAGTATAATTCATTTTCAATTTATGTATTTTTAATAACTTCCCGTAGGGTAAGTTATAGTAATCGCAAAAAATCGAAAATCAAAATATTATATATCTTTACGTTTCAACGTTACTTAACATTTTGGCATACATTAAAAAAAATGGATGTGTGCGGATACAAATTTTCGTCGACTATTTCGGAAACACCGATCAACCGATTTGAATAATTAAAAAAACAGTCGATTTGTATTAATAAGGAGATGTGCTGATTAGTTTTTAGCAAAGGCAGGTCTAGCCGTTCCGGAGATACGGGGCAAAAAGTGGCAAAAACGGTAACTCAGTTTTTAAGAGAACGGAGAGTCCGATTTTAATGATTCAAAAAACATTTTACTTGTATTGACAAGATGAAAAACTGATTAAATTTTTGGAAAGGCAGGTCTAGCGGTTATGGACTCTCATTAAGAATAAGTTAAAATATGTCATTTAGCGGTTTTAAAATGTTTATTGGACATATGCACATCAAATTATCAGATATTTTATAGGTTTTAATAACGTGTACACATTTTGTGTAAATTTTTTGGGGTTCCGTATCAAGATTTTTAATTACGGTACGGGAAGTTCAGTTTGCCTTAAGAGACGATGCCATGCACCACACGAGTGCAAAGGGTGTAAAAATGGTAATGAAGTTTTTAAGACAAAGCATCATCCGATTAGATTAATTCAAAAAGAGTTTGCTTGAGTAGACGGTGTGCAAACAATGCTTTTACAGAAAATTTTGTAATTTTGAAAATTTTCAAAGAAAAAAATTCAAAATTTTCATTAAAAAATCAGTCTCAAGAAATTCAAATTTTCAAAATTTTTCATTTTCAAAAAAAAACTAAACTTTGAAAATTTTCAAAATTATAAAAATTAAAAAAAGCGATTTCTTACAAAAATTTGAAAAATTTTCGAAATTTTCAATAAAATCGAATATTTTCAAATTTTCCAAATACCAAAAAAATCTGAAAAAACGTTTTTTTTTCTTAAAAAGAATCAAAAAAATTTCAAACTTCTAAAAAAATTTCTAACCTTGAAAAAAATCAAATTTAAACAAAAAATGAACAAATTTCTTGTAAACATACACTTGGGCTCGTCACCTAATTTAATAAGCACTTATAAATTTACAGTATGTATTTATAATAAATAATCTATTTGAAATTATTTAAAACAATTCTCAATGATTTTCATTCCTCAAATTTTTAATTTTAGTACAAAAAGTACCAGCAATTTGCCTTTAGGCACGATGCCATGCACCCTGTATCATTTCCTGTATCAAACTACTAAAACCCTTTAATTTATCATAAAGAATATTTATTGCAATAAAATTTTCTTTCACATATGCAAGTATAGCAAAGGCCGACAAAGTCTTGAGGCAAAATAATACTTAATACAGAATTAGAATAAAGAACTATATTCGTATAAAAACAATTAAATATCATTCTCGTTCCAACGAATATGTCTTGATAACACATTAATTAAAAACAAAAAAATAATTGCACCTCGTAACATATATGTATATATTAAATCTATGAATTAATCATTAAAAAATGCACAAAAGACGTAAATATATAACTCAAATATAATAGACGCATAAATATGTGTCTATATATATTTTTTTTAAACAATATTTAAACACATTACATCAGCTTAAATCTTGTACATATATTATTAAATATAATTCTATTTTTATATAATTAATAAACTGCATATATCATATCTCTCGTCTCAACCAGAGACACAAAAAAATATTACAAAATATTTTAAAATATTTTGAAGCTTAAAATATAATCTATCTCGTTTATACAACAAAAGCTTAAAAAAAAACATTAAACAAAATTAAAGTTTTATAACGATATAAAAATTGTATCTGAGTGATGTTGTTTTCGTTTAATTCACATGTCTATAATACTTTATCTCATATGGCTATTTCAATCAACAAAAAAACTATTATGAATTGTGTTAAATATTAAGTCGCTTTATAATAACTATTATTGAATTCTCGGTGTGAATTGTTTAATGCTGTGTTTTTTCATCAGTGGCAGTTTTTTGGCGATGATTATTGTATGAACATTTATATCAAGTTTTTAAATTTATTGTTAAGTTACACCTAAGGATTTAATGACAAAAATCTGTGCGGGATAATGGATATATATATATATATATATATATATAGATATATATATATATATATTAGGGTGGTCCTTAATATGGACATTTTCGAATTTTATTGCTCCCAAGGGCTCAAATGCTTCCAAATTAATTTCAAAAAATTCTCTAAAAGTTTCAGCTCTTAATATTAACATTTAGATAGTCCGCAATTCAATTAAAACTTTCGTATATTTATTCTAAAGTAAATTCTTGCGCCAACTGTGATAGCATTCGTGAACACAAATATTATAACCTTTAAAAATATTTATAAATCAATTAACCTCTAATTAAATCCATGTGGACTGTTTAACAAAATATTTATTTATTTGGTGATTTTGACGCTCAAATTATCAGTAATAAATTGCCATCAAAATTACAAGTCTGCTATCACAGATGGCGCAAGTCTTTACTTAATGATATATGTTATAAACAAATTTACAAAACTTTTAATTAAATTGCGGACTATCTAAATGTTAATATTAGGAGTTGAAACATTTAGAGAATTTTTATTTATTATTTTAGAAGCATTTGAGCCCCTGGGAGCAAAGAAATTCGAAAATGTCCACATTAAGGACCACCCTAATTTATATATATATATATATATATATATATATATATATATACATGTTTGGAGTATTTTGCAGCCCAATCGTCGAATTAAAAAGTTAAAATAGAAAAATTCTTTATTCTATAAAACGTTTCGACACTTAATGTGTGTCATCATTCAGTAATCGAAAAAACATATTACATAAATAACAATAGTTCATATTAAATATAAATATAAAAAACAGAAAATTATATACATAACAAACCAGAAAAAAACACAAAAATATATAAAATTTATTTTTAAGAGAGGAAATTGTTTCTCAATACTCTTTTGTTTCTTTCACCCCGCATCCACTCACTCTGCCGCACGTGCCGCGTAACCCTGAATTTATTTGCGTTACTCTTTTTATTAATTATTATTAGTTATGATGTTCTTTCGCACAAGTATTATTTTTGTGTTTTATCTGTTTTGGTATGTATATAAGTTTTTCCTTTTTATATTTTCATATTTAATATCAACTATTGTCAACTATTGTTACTTATGTAATGTTTTTCTAGATTACTAAATGATGACACACATTAGGTGTCGAAACGTTTAATAAGTTTTTTTTTGATTCGAAGATTGGTCTACAAAAGCACCTCAAATATACATACATATATATATATATATATATATATATATATATATTTATATCCATTATCGATTTCCAATTGGCAGTAAGTGTACGTCACTTGTACCTAATGCAAAAATCTTATTATTCCACTTTATCAATTAATAATAATAATATAATCGTGACCGTTTCAATAATATATATTTATTTATTTAAAATCTCTCTATTTATCATTATATTTTATCATCATCATCAACTATAGGCGTATTTAGAATTTTCTTTTACAAACTAATTCAATTATAATACATACACATTATATATGAACAAATTTTCATCAATTGGTAAACAATATTTGATAAATAGTTATCAATATTGTTTTAATGGTTCATATAATTTAATTTAATGTAAAACTATTGTACAAATTGGGTAAAAATTGGGAATATAGCTGCACTATTTAAGTATCTTTAATAGATAGAGGTAATATATATATAAATATACAAACATGTATCAGTATATTTATATATGTTTAATAAAGTAAAACCTCTGTCTATATTACAAATGCAAACACTAATGGCGAAGACTTCTCGTTAGTTTGTTCTATGGTACAAAATATGGAAGAATTCTTAATTAAAAAACATTTCCAATTAAAACAAAAACCCTATTAAATAAAAACTCCATAAGAATATAAATATAAATTTCTTGTTTTGTTTTGTTTAGTCATATATACATATATAAAGATATCAATCAATCAACGAGACATATTTTTATATATATGTATCGATAATGCATGTGAATTTTTTTTAGTTTGTTTGATTTATTATAATATCTACTTTGAAAAATAAAAAATGCAATACTCTAATACCGTCAAAGAAACAAGAATAAGCGTTTTTTTTTCAATTTCTGTCACTCATCAAGCAGAATGGCATTAATATTAATTATTATCAAATAATAGATACACCACAACATATATATATATATATATATATATATATATATATATATATATATGCATGTGTCTATTCCTATGATTATATTCAGCCCGAGATCAAGAAACCAAACAATTCATCCTCGATAATACTTAAAACAAATATAAAATATCCAATCAACTCAATACCTCGTTTAAAAAATGAATTCAATCTCTAAAATTTCCTTTACCTCGTGCCAAACATAATCCAAATTAAACGGACAAAAGTTCATCATCCTCTCTAAGTGTGCATCGATTACTTAAAAAAAAACACAAGTGGTAAAATAGTCGATTAGATTAGATTAGAGTAGAGTAGAGAAGTAAGAAATTGATTTGTTGATTTGTTGTTTGTTGTTTGTTGTTTGTTTAGTTTTAATAATAATAATAATATTAATAAAGTGTTGTCTTATTATGCCTCGATGGACTTCTTCTTTTCCTTCTTCTTCTTGAGGAACGATGGCGTCCTCAGGCCCTTCTTCTTCTTCTTGTCCTTCTTCGGGGAGTCTTCTGTCGACATTTCCTAATAATAGACAGAAAATAATATTAACATTATATTAATTTTCTCTATAAAATTTTATTATCTACATTCTTTATCTCTTTCATACATTCTTTTATCTCTTTCATACAATATCTGCCTCTTTCTTACACTATCAGTCGTCTCTTTCGTACACAATTTGTCCCTTTCACAAGTTATCTCTCTCTTTCCTACACAATCTATCTCATTCAGTCATTATCTGTTTTGAACACTATCTCTTTCACAGAAATATTTCTTAATACACCATCTATCTATTTTATACCAAATCTATTCTTGCATAGATTATTTGTCTCTTTCATACACACCATTTCTTTCTCACGCATTATAAAAGTAAAACTTCTTTATACACGACTAGGATGTAAATCCATACAAATGCAACGGAAGTGCGTTACGGCCGAGTCGGGTGCCAATGATCAATTATCATTTCTATACGGGTCGATTGTTATTGGTCGTCGTGTCACGTGAGTATGATTGCTTTGATTGTATAGTAAAAATAATAAAACAAATGAAGAATCAGACGTGTAAAAAACGTAAGTTTATTGAAGTAATTTGTATTATTCGTCGTTACCGTGTATTTTTGAAGTTATTAAAATGAAAATTATTTTTATAGGCAAGACACATACTACAGCTGCTCGAAGAATGAAACTGTATCGCCAGCGAGATAGTCAAAAAAATTCAAGCAGTCAATGAATGTATGTTAATTTTAATTACATCACAAGTGAAACAACTGTTGTCGTTCAGATGTAAAAGGTTATAATTTCATTTTACTGATTCTGAACGTGAAGTATTACAAAGTTGCATATTTTTATAAATAATTATAAATTTATTTACATTTTACAGATTTATTACTCTAAACAGGAAACCAAGCACAACAATAGTTTGTGTAGCTGCGTATCATTTATATACAGATACTTCATAATGGACCTCTATGCAATTTATTTAATGATAGTGTTAATGAAAATACTTAAGATTGTTTTATTACTGCTGTTCGTAAAATTTATTAACCAGCAATTACACACGTTTCTCTAATAAAGGTTCAACTTCTAAATGCTAAAAGTAAAGGTGGTGGTAAAGAGCTTAAATGTGATATTGTAATATCAAATACTTTATTAAAATAAAATTCAGTTTTTTTCAAGCATTACTGACTATTAAATAACTGACTATTAAAATTCCATTGTTTGTTATATAAAATCTTACAATTTCCGATTTATATTTTTTTCACTTTTGAGTCTTGTATAAAATTTTATTCAATTTTCTTCATAAATAACTTGAAAAAAATGACTACTTGTGCGAGGTACGAATTAAATTTCGTATACAATCTATCTCTTTTGTACATAAACTAATTTTCACACATTTTCTACTTTTTTTACGAACTATCCATTACATCCACAGTCTATTTGTCTCTTTCATACAAAATCTGTCTGTTTCGTACACAACCTATCTCTTCCACAGACCATCGATTTAATTCACTATGATCTTTCTTTTTCATACATTGTCGATTTTATTCGCGTTTTCACTTAACTTTATGTACTTTCACACAAATTTATCAATTTTTATACACTTGGATCTATTTGAATTGAGAAACACATTGTGAAACTCGTTCACACACTTTTCAACTCTTACACACAATCTGATTGCGATTTTTCACATTAATTCATGTATTTTCACACAAATCCATACAATTTACACATACACACGTTATCATTCTCGTAGAACGGATTTAATTAATCGGGAGAGTTCGCGATTGTCGTCGGCAACGTTCGCTCAGACATGTGACGTCATATACCCTTCCATGTTTAAACACTATATACAATGGAAAACATAAGGACTAGCAGTCTGTATAGTGTAATGTCTATGTCTTCAATGTCATTATCGATCTCTTTCACTCGTTATGTCTCTCTATTATACTTTATCAGTCTCTTTCACACGCTATCCTTCTCTATCATACATTACCGATCTCTTTCACACGGTATCCTTCTCTACCATACAATCATGCTTTCTTTCTCTTTTCTTCTACTTTTTACTTATTAATATTGTATATTATTAATAATAAAAATATTAATTATTATTTAAACTTACTTCTTTGCTGCTCTGCGAGAAGGTGCTCGGGTGTGCGTCCGAATGGTCGCCATTTAATGTATTCTCTCCTTGAATTTGAAAAAAAAAATACAACTTAATTAGTTTAGCGAATTTTATAAATGGTGAAGATGATGATGATGATGATGTGATATATATAATGATGTATAATTGAAACATGAATATATGAATTAATTTATTTATGTACATATATATGTATTTAATTAAATGTATATACATATTTTTACATGGTATAATTATTACTAAAAAAATCTATTGAAATTTTATAAAAAAAAATTATATGAAAAATGTCATCGATCTTGAAGAAGTACTAAAAAGTGTACGAAAGAGCACAAAAAGTATTGAAAAAGGACAAACGTATGTGAAAGAGCATAAACATATGTTAAAAGAGGACAAACGTGTATGATCACGATTTGAATAACTTAATAAAAATTTTTACATATTATACCATATAAAAATATCATCTCTTAATCTCTATCTTAAAAACTATAATGAAATGATGGATTCATGGATAATGGATGATAATGAAGGATGGATGATGATAATGGATAATGAAAAGACAAGCACAATGCAAAACACATAGAAAATATAAAAAAAAAATCAAAAACTCACTGTTAGACGGTTCTACAAAATAAAACAAATCAAAGAATTCAAGCACAGTGCGAAAAACAATGCAAAAAATGTTTCATGAAGATGTTCCATTCCACATTCCATTCTTGCTGAAGAGTGGAGCAGCTGTTAGTTTCATTCACCATGATAAATTAATTCGTTAATTAGTGATAATAGTAAGTAGTCAATTAGTTTTCACACTCTAGTCGCTATAGCTATAGGTAATAAAGATGTTTTGCTACATTAATAGAAGGGCTGGTGGACAGTTGCAGAAAGATAAAAACATTAATTGTAAGATATTTTGTAAAATAGTATGATAAAAGATATTTAATTGACAATAACTGCAACGAAATAGTGAAGCAGAAATTAAAACAAATTGAACATTTTTACACAAAAATTTGCAACGTACAAAATCTTACCATATCGCTCTCTTTCACACGCTTTATCCATCTCTTTCACGCGCTATCCCTTTCCCTTTCGCACCTTATTCATCCTTCTAACTATATTCATCTCTTTCATACACTATCAATCTCTTTCACTAATTATGCATCTCTTTCACACACTATCTATCTTCTTCGCACACAATCCACCTTTTTCACATCTAACGTCCAAAATATTAAAAAAAACTAGTTTTCTATCATTTTTTAAAAATTGTAATTAAAATTAATTTTCTAATAAATTTCCCGTTTATTTCCTTCACAAATTATCCATCTCCTTCACACACTATCAATCTCTTTCACTAGTTATCCATCTCTTTCACACACTATAAATCTCTTTCACTAATTATCCATCTCTTTCACACACTATCAATCTCTTTCACTAATTATCCATCTCTTTCACACACTATCAATCTCTTTCACTAATTATCCTTCTCTTTCACACCTAACGTCCAAAAAAATTAAAAAACTAGTGGGGCGCATGGCATCGTGCCTTAAGGAAAATTGCTGGAACTTCCCGTACCAAATAT